ACAGACGCGATGTGTGGTGATTTGAAGCCATTTGCGTATTTTGAGAGAGAAAGAGAGAGTGCGCGCGGTGATTCACTCACGCTGTTTGTGAAATTACGTCTCACACAAGGTTTTCAGATTACTTTGAAAGTAATTTAATGAAGAAATATGAAGGTGAGTAGTTCACCTTCAGCATTATAATTATTTCACCCGCACCGGACAGGGACAGGGACAGAGACTGAGACAAAGGTCAAAGAGGGCAAAGGTCAAAGAGGCCAAAAGGCCAGAGCCTTGCATGTTCGACCTCGGGAATCCCAGAGACCACATAGCATGTCGTGCCAAACCTCTCACGGCAGCGTCATCAGCTTGAGATCGTTTTTTTGAGATCGGCCTTTTAGAGACCGCCGATCAATCATCCCAATGTGATAATCGGCCGATAATGATCGGTAGCCGATCAATCGGAGCACCCCTAGCTTGTAGTAGTATTTCAGTCTTTCCTCTCAGAAACAAGTATAGAAGCTTATGTAATAAGGTAATTGCGACTTTTTATCTCACTTTTTTTTTTTAACTCAACTAGTAATTGCAACTAGTAATTTATTAATAAAGTTTTTTTGTGAGTTTATTACTCACAATTTAGACTTTTAATTACTATTCTGGAAAAACAAAAGAAGTCCAAGTCAAAGGATAGGAAGTAGGGGTGTGCCATATCAAACAATCCACAATAACACCGGTATACATTTTCACATGATAAAAAAAAGTGTCATATCGCGATGTCAATGAATAAGCAAAATGAATAAGGCCGAATAAGGAAAAAGACCAAATAAATTGCACCGAACAATGACGTGACGCGATCAAATAGAGGCGGCGCACTAATGCAGCAAACGTGACGGCAGTGCATTTAAAACTGTCCGAGAAAGACGAAAAAAACATTACAGGCACAGACAGCGAGACACGGTTTAGCACTGCATCTCATGTCTCCGATGAGAAGAGGAAGGGGTGGTTGTTGCTGGTTACTGTATGATGATTAAAATCGCGAAATGGTCTTAAACAAATAAATACACTGCAGAACGTTATGTTTTCTAATACACGCATGAATTTGCATGTGTCCAAACAGCGCTGCATTAGCCAGGGTTCAAAGTCCAAACCGCGAGGGAAATCAGCGCTGAAACCGTGTTACTCATCAGTTGCTCAGTAACAGTTTTATGAATTTTTACAAGGCATGTGACAATGTGATACGTGCATCTTCCCAAATTAGTAATGAGAATAATTTATAAATCTGCTGTGCGGTCAATAAAAAGAAGCACTGAGGACTTCCTGCAGGTTTCCATCAAAATAAAAGCTCCATCAACATTCATAAATGTTAGTATTGTAATTTTAC